TGGTAATGAAAATAATAGAATAACAAGGAGTATTTGTATTTAGTTTAGAGAAAATTAATGCTGAGTCCTCCAACTTTCAACATGGTATAACTATTGGTTCTCAATAATCAAAAGTGAGATTTAAGTTTCAATGTATTTAAATGTGTGTGTCTCAATCATACTTGGTCAATATATTAGTGTAGACGTTAATATCAAGCACGATTTTCACATACTCATAGTTTAGATGACAAAATCGTTAAATCATTTAACATTCATCTTTAATTTAATTGTAAGTCACATGAAATTTTCCACTTCTAATTGATTATTTTCGTCATGTAAAGATCCAAATTTAAATATTCAAATAAATTAAGGATCTAAAATCTTATTTTTAGAAGTTGAATACTCATTACCACACTATATAAAAGATGGAGGACCGAACCCTAATTTCCCTTTCAATTTGGCAAAGGTACAACCACCGGAAGACATACGTATTGCACGATAACGAATTGTATCAACTACAAATATAAAGCGTGTGACGGATGTCAAATATAAATCAAATGCATTTAAAACCTTCAATTGAAGTCCGCCTAAGCTTCTCTCTTCACTTTCCTCTTCTCCCACAACTGAAGACTATCGCCTCCTCGCGCGAAGAAAATTATAAAAAATAAAAAATTCATAAACACTAATATATATATACTCTTCTCATCTGACTTTTTCAAACTCAAAATCATAACCTATAGTCAACGCAACTGATTGCCTGTAATCAGCAAAAAAGAAAAAAAAGTTCCAATCGGAGAATTGCGTCAGATTCCGGCGAACATGGCGGTTGCCGACAGTCACCACCACCACCANTTTCCGGCTAGAAGAAGACTTCGTCTCGATCCTTCGAGCAATCTATACTTCCCCTGTGCGTTACAGCTGGCTCTTGTTTATCTTTAAATTCCTGCTATTATTCTTTAGTTTTCATTACTCACCGTGCTCGTTAGAACTGGAAACACTTCTTCTCCTCTTCGTGGTTCAGAGTTCTCTGGAAAACGAAAGATTACGGCATGTCAAGTATTTGAAGTTTTAATATATTGTAAATGCTGATTGACTGTTTTTACTTGCGTGTATATATTTCCAGATGAACCAGGAAAGCAGGCGAGGAGTGCAATTAGGATTAAGAATTCCAGCAAGTCTTACGTTGCATTTAAGGTAATGGTTTATGCGGTTCTATTTGTTTCTTTCTTTCAGGAATCGTCTCCTTACCACTGCATGCTCAATACTCATTTTTTATTTGATATACAGCATCACAATATGTTTTCTTCAGTACTGCAATGCATTTAAATTCTTGTATAGCAATGATCGTTTCATACAATATTAGCGCTTTCCATTTGATTTTACTAAAAATCAATAAATCAGAGATGATGTTGGCCTATAGAAAAGATCAATTGATGTTTGCCTTTACCTTGTTTGATTATTAAACAAGTATATATATTGGTAATCACAAAATGTAAGTGATAAAAGTGGTGTGATGAAGTTGCTGATTCTTTTTAATTTTTAATTTTTTTGTTTCCGGGTATTAGTTTCAAACTACTGCACCAAAGAGTTGTTATATGCGCCCCCCTGGCGGTATTCTTGCTCCTGGAGAAAATCTCGTTGCTACTGGTAATTAGCCATTTTTTGACTTAATTTAAATGTATGTACATATGCACAAAGGTCAAGATACTTCTTTATGCATAATTTTAGTTTGTTTGAAGGATTGACGCCATCTGATTATGAATATGTATTTGTTCAACAGTGTTCAAGTTTGTGGAGCATCCAGAGAACAATGAAAAGCCTACAGATCAGAAGAGTAAGGTTAAATTCAAGATCATGAGTCTAAAGGTCAAAGAAGGAACAGATTTTGTTCCTGAGTTGGTGAGTGTTTTGCTTATGATTTTAGTGCTCATCTACCAATTGACAATTGATGGTTGAACTATTATGTGAGTAGTTGCTTGCACAATACCTGTCATAATTTTCCGATTACCTTGATCATTATTTCTGATTCCATGATTTATATTCTCCTTTCACTTTCATTTAATATCTACTTAGTTCATAGATATTTAAATGCACGATGGGTGCTAAACACTCCAACCTCACTCATTGTATTTCATTGAGTTCCTGGTACCTAATGGACCAGTTTGTGTATGTGCTTTGAACTTCACCGCCTGTGTATTGGAATTATAGAATAAGATCCCTGCATCATTTTTCGGGTCTAAATGTCGTAGATGTGGTACCTGCGTTTTGTTGCTTGGTTTCTTTCCCCTAACTCTGGTGACTTTTGTATGATTAACCCCTATCCCCACATTTTTTTGCACGGTGGAAAGAAGAAACTGAAAGTATAAGAAGAGCAAATGACAAGTGACAGAAACTGTCTTTGACAACAAAAAATTCTTATATATGTTATGAACGCTTACATGTTCGGATTAGATATGTGCTGTTCTATTTAGCACTGAACATACCCCATGGTGCTCCTAAGCTGCTTTTTGCAATGTAGTGGCACCGCTCACCAAGTTTTTTCTTTTAGTGCGATACCCTTGGTGTTTTTTGAGCTAAGTTGTTAATGCCAAACTCTATCAATGGAGTCACTCTCTTCAGGTACCATTTGGTGTTTCATTTACAGGGTTTTTGTACCTCAGGGTTAGCAGCTGTAAGGAGCAAGAAATTTATCATATTGATGTACATTTTGTTTAATTTCAGGAATCACTTGTCTTTCCAAACAAGAAATTGATTTTGTGTTGTGGCCGGAATGCTTGGTGCCGGTAGCTTGTTTCTAGGCCTACAATTTTTAAGTTATTGGCATTACATTCTGCTATGCTTCCTATTTAGACATGTAGCAGTGTCCTTTATCAGAAATGGAATACTTACAGGAGTTACAAGTTATGTCTTACTCTTTCTTGATACCAAGATAAGATAAATATTTCATAGGTTTAGGTTGAGTCGGATAGAGAACTTTGGTTTTGTCACCAGAATTCCTTAAAATTGCTACATCCTGTATACATTCTATTTAATTTTATATTTCCATTGAATTAAGTACCATACAATTCTAATCTGAAAGACTAAATGGGGCAATTCAAACAACATTATTTTTTCTGCATACCTTCTATTTCTAATGAAGAATAAATATCATAACAGTGTGGTCATCGTTGGGCCTTAGTCGTAAGATGGACTGCCAATGTCCTAGGTATTTGCATGGTCTCAGTATGAGTAGTCACCGGCAAAATGACCTGCTAGCTTGCTAAATATGTGGCGTGGGTCAATGCAAGTTTCATGTGGTATATGAATAGTTCATATCGATTAAAAATGATACTTTGACCTGGGGTAAATTACTGCACACGTCCAAAAATAGACCTGCTTTTATTGTGTGATCTGCATGCAGATTGATTTGACTTCTGTGAGTTAAATTATTTGTTATAGAGTGTTGCGTGACTCTGAATATAAAATTAACATTATCCAAGTGACGCACGTTCATGTGTTTCTGTTTGTGAACTTTTCATATAATTTTTGCTCCTACTCTGGCCTGACTTTTTTAATATTGCTGGTACTTATATGGTCCTTCAGTTCATCATCTTGCAGTTGTATGTATTTCAGTTGCTTCTTGGAACTTGATTTGAATTACACGAGCACATCTAGAGCTCAATTGGTGGATTTTTTTTATTTTTTATTTTTATTCCCCTCTCTCTCTCTCTGCAGTTTGATGAGCAAAGGGATCGAGTCACTATTGAGCGAATATTACAAGTTGTCTTCTTGGATCCAGAGCGCTCAACTACTGTAAGAATCAATTTTCATCAAGTTGTATTCTCTACTCTTCCATGAGGTTTGGCCTAATTTCAACTAATGATGTTTTCCGGTGATTCAAGGCACTTGAAAAATTGAAGCGTCAATTGGCTGAAGCTGATGCTGCTACAGAAGCACGCAAGAAGCCTCCTCCACCTGACACAGGTCCACGTGTTGTTGGGGAAGGTCTTGTTATAGACGAATGGGTAAGTATCATGGCTCATGTCTATACATGAATACACCAAATTACGACCTCTTTGTGGAAATAGGCTATAAAATTTTCCCATTTTTATTGCTCTAATCAAGCTTTCATTACTCGTGTTCAGAAAGAGCGAAGGGAGAAATATCTTGCACGGCAGCAGGTTAAAGCTGTAGATTCGATGTAAAGCGTTTATTGGGTTTTGACGTATACAACACCATCTTTCGCAAATGAATTTTTCTAGTGTTATCTGCCATATCTGTATTTATTACCTGCTAAGGTTATCATCATAGAGTAATAGTGTGATTGGAGATCACTTGTTTATGAGGTAAAATGCACGTCACAGAAATATCCTCCTTCAGGTTGTCTTTTACTTTCTTGATTGTACATATTGCACTCGATGCTGTTAATTTTAATTTTAATTTTTCATTTCGTCTTTCATTCAAGAATTTTTTTTATTATAAGATAAATATGTGCTATAATGAATCCAAGAATGCCGTGGAGAAAGAGGGATCAGAAATCCATTTGACCTATGTTATCTTGCCAAGCTTGCCCACACACGTATGAACCAAATTTGACCCACTTGGAATGTTGTATGGATTTGCCATATGGAATTCTTGATCACCACATAAAGAGAATCCTCAGGGCCACCACCCAACCCCACCCACGCCTCTCTGCTAGTGTATATACAGTGAAAAGATGAAAAACTTGCTCTTTATCCACTCCCATAGACTGCAAATTTACTGCAATCATGCTAGAAGGAAAAGCAGTAATTGGTGAGACAGATATGCTGGAAACCATGCAACAAGAGGCACTTCATATAGCAGCAAGGGCACTTGATCTCTTTGATGTCACTGAGGCTACAGAAATAGCCCGTTTCATTAAGAAGGTATGTGTACAAAACTTAGCACTACAATTTCTTATTCTTGAGTATATAAATCTTGACGAATACATGTTCATTCTTGTATATGTGATGTCCAGAATTGCATACCAAACATATATTTTAACAATATAACGGTTTCTGGGCGGTTTTGATTGCAGGAGTTTGACAGGCAATATGGATCTGGATGGCAATGTGTAGTAGGAACTCATTTCGGTTCATTTGTGACTCACTGCTATGGCTGCTTCATCTATTTCGGCATTGGCAACCTTACAATTTTGCTCTTTAGAGGATCAAACGGACAAGGACTCGAGGCACGTGAATTTCCAGCTTTGGAGACTATAGCTTGAAGCATTAATTGCTACATTTTCCAGCTTCGTACATAATGTATAATCGAAAGAATAATAATTCTGAAGTTCGAGTTATTAATAATTCCTAGTTTTGATACAATATTCATTGACCATCTCCTCAAATTTACTGTGCCCTTTGTAAGAGTTAAATAGAAGAGAGAATGAAGGACATAAACTATGAATGAATGGAATGTTTTATCCCTTGATTTATCAATTGATAGTTACGTGTATATATACACAAGGATGAGAACAAATTATGTAACAAACGAAGCTAACAAACATGAGATACATGGAGCAGAATTTATCATATTATCAAATGACGAGACTTTATCTTTGTTGGAGAGAGTAATCTGGATGAGCAGCAAAAAATTTAGTAAAGGT